GTGTGGCTAGCGACTCTACTCCAGGAAATCAACCCAATCTCTACAGAAAACTTAATGTACAAACATGATAGGAGGTTTTCCATGTTTGTTCCATAAAATCTAAATATAAATACAGCCACTTTTCATCTGTAAATACGTAAATATGACTCGCGAAATGTGTATAACTCAGTGTCTTTTACTCATCAGTGCTTCAGCGTCCTTCCACCTTCTTTTTTGTCAATGACCGGTTCTTACTTAAAATCTGAAGAACATTCTCTTAATTTGTCAATTTATTTTTTCCATTATAGCTTGATTCCACACCGTATTTTTGGTACAGGTATGGAATTTTCAACATGTGATATTGGTAGCACAAATATTGTAGGCCGACCATAGATATCAGGTGTGCGTGGGGCGGGGATCGAACCCCAGACCATGTGTGTGGTCGGCGAGCATTCTACCGCTGTGCCACTGACGCACCCTGAACGGGAAAGGCACTTAATTCAGTGCTGTTCTATTCACCTGGACTATAAACTTTGCAGTATCCTATACCAGAAAACCTGCTTAAGCTTCTAAAAGAGAAAAATCAACCTTGAAGTTAATAAAAATATAACTACTAACAAAATACAAAGGTAGGTGTTTGGATCAAATTGATTTCGTTACAAATCACCACTAATTGATTTGAGTAGTATCCAACTACTCATTTTGATCAATCAGTAGTACATAGCGCTACGCATATTTTTTCTACCTGTTGAATTATCCATGGTGCAACAAGTGGATCTTTTGGCCAAGTGGATGACGTTTTTTCGTTTCCAGTCACAGTAAGAGTACTTTCAATCCCTCTAAATGCAGGTACATTCAGTGGACTAGACGTCGATTTCACTGCTAGCCATTATCAACCAAGTTACGTGTAATTTCTAAATGAATATCACACAACCGGTTCCCTTTATTAGTTTGAATAAAGAACGAACATATTTGCAGGATAATACAAGCTCGTTTTATTTCGTCGACCCTCTTCAACTGCTGAGTACATCCTAAACAGAATCAATTTTAAGTTGCCACATTTCTGAACATACCCTTCCAAAGTGACTTCAGGTTATAGATAGAAAGTATAGGTAACATAATTCCAAAGATGAAGTAAGTAAATGAATTATTATTATTCCCTTGAGTTCCTAGTGGAACATATGGCTTCAACAACACATCTCCACTTTGTTCTGTTTTCTGACGTCTTCTTCAGCTGGGTCCAAAATTGACCAAACTCTCTCATCTCTTCCTCACTCGATCTCTTCCATGTCGCCATCGCTCGTACCGACGACCCACTCAGCGCTTTCCACTTGGATTCCGCTCGAGCGACGGCCTGCATTGGGCGAGATGTCATTCAGCGGTCTCTTCAATGTATGCCAGATCAATGCATCTCCATTTTCCCTTACATATTTGTTAAGCTATCGGCTATTGCTTGTTGGTTTGTTTATAGCCAGAGTTTCATGTCACTAATTCTTTCTGGCCGGTTGGCCATTTGATCTTCAGTATGGAGCCAGCCATGAAGGTAGCAGCTGTTGATAAAAGTTTACAATAGTCTGTTGGAAATCTTTTTCTTAAATCACACGCAGTAAAAGTTTCCAACCCGTATAAAAGCGTTGACTGACTGACTTCACATTTGTGTTGAAAATCCGAATCTTGTTCTTTATGCTGCTGGCAGAGTGCAGATTTCCAAACTGGTTTCAGTTAGATGAAGGTTTATTTTGCCTTTCCGATTCTGGCTTTGACATCTTCATGAGTTCCGCCTGTATTTCAAACGCTGCTGCGTAGCCATATAAGTGAAGGACGTAACTTCTTTTAAGTATCTCCAGTTGATGGTGATGTGGTAGACGAATTGGTCAGTGTTAAAAAGGTGACTATTTATACAATAATTAGACAATTGTGGTAGAGTTCAGATCTTGCTTAGAAACAAGGATTGATTACAGACAGAATACTAAATAGAACAACAGAGTGAATTTATACCTGTTATGATGCAGGGTTCACAAGGGGTGCGAGTGAACAGTAAAGTAAAATTATAGGTTGGACAAAACACACAAACAAGACGATTACAGTTACCAGGGTAGTGAGAGATTAGTTATACCACCTTTATTTATATATAGGTTAGGTAAAAGATAAGATTGAAGAGGAACTCGTAGTTATCGAAAAGAACCTGAACTAAAATTATTACCCTTCATTGTTGAACTTCGAATAACTTTCCCTACGAAATCAGCGATTCGCATGAATGTAAACGATAACCTACCGCTGCTGGCCACATCAGTGTGTATCTATCAATTCACCTTCTCGTGTGTGTGTCAGCCGTATCCAGCGTTTGATATCCAAATGTATCTACGAACACTTACCCACAGTCATAGACTTATAAAGGAGAAAAAAGATCTCCGCCCCTCAGTAGCTCTATCCTCAAACACTTCATCGAATCTGCACACCAAGCTAACACACAAACCTACTTCAAAGTCATCTGCAGAACAACATCTAGGAATCTTGCTGGAGGAGTAAGAATCAAACTGCTTCAAGCCTCAGACGTAATGCCGATTCATATGTTAAGTCCTGAACTCTGCATACAAAAGAAGTTTCTTCAGTCATGAAATCTACAATGGACCTGATCTGTCTTAACACCGGATACGTAATTTTTGGATTTTGTTTCCCAACTGCATTACTTCCTTCCCTCACCCCCTCCTATTACATTTCTACGTCCTTACTAGCACACTCTTGTCAACTTGACTCTCGTTCAATTCTAGTTGAATTCCACTCACTTCCATCACTTATATTACCTCGCTCAATTAACTTATTCATCCTAATTTTAAGAGTTGGTTTGTAAGGATTAGACGATTCCCAAACTAGGATGAAACAGCTGTCCAATACTCTCCCTACTGGTTTTCAATGGTTCTTTAAATGAAATCAATCTGTGGTCAAACTCGTGGAAACAAATCTAATCCTTACAAACCAACTATAGCAAATTAATCTGATGCTCTCTAGTGACTTGCTACACGATACAGTTTCCTGGAGTTCTAGTGAGAAGTCATGACCAGTGGGATTCATCCATTCAAGTGTGAGGACGGATGTCCCACCAATGACATTGATTGGTGGTCACGCTAAATCACGAATTGGCACAATTTAGAATTCATCGGCTAGCCATTGAATCGGGTCCCAGTGGTTCAATGTTATACGAGCTCGCTGGCCTTGTAACCGGAAGCCCCTGGGTTCAAACCATGGTGGTGGGTGCGTACTGCCGATGAGTCCCAAACTAGTGGGGTGAAACAGCTGTCCAGTATTCCCTGATTTTCATTTTAGTTTCTGTCCTGCTAACGTGCCTTTTACATTACGTAATTCGTTATCTAAAATTTACAATTGTAATGTCACATCCATCGAAATATTCCTATTGTTGCTAAGACAATTTTCTATATACATATGTGATTGTACAGCATGAGAATGATATCGCTGAAAAAGAGGAGTAACTCTTCACTGGACGCCTTTTCTTTTACGCTAGTCAATGGGGATCTTTAAGTTTAATAATTTTTAGTCACTTTTAAAGTCTGCAAGACATCCAAGATAGATATTGGAACGATATTAGTTTGTTTATTAGATATATCATACAGTGAAGAAATAGTATTATTTACTGGATGACGTTTCGAACAAAATTCATTATTGTTCATAATCATATCAATTGTGATCACACGACTTAGACACTTGAGTTTTATAGTTTTCTTTGTCTTCTCCTATTTGTCGTCGTTGGGGTAGTAGATTATTCCAGATATCGGGGACAGGTGATGAATCATTCCTACTACTACTTAGTAGTAGTACTAAAGAAAATCTAAAACAGGAACTGACACACACAAAAGAAGCCTTGAAACTTAATAATTACCCGGATAAATTAGTCAGGAAATATGTAAGGAAATGTAAAAATAAAATAAATAATGATAGTAGCGATAGTGATAATAACAATAATAATAATAATAATAGTGATAATAATAATATTAATGACGACACCAATAATAAAGAATCTAAATCATCAGTAGTAATTCCATACAAGGAAGGAACCTCGGAAGCCTTACGCAGAATTCTTAACAAGGCAGGCAAGAATAAAAGTGGCTGGCATTCAAACCACCTACAAACTAAATTAGAAACAAGCTTTGTCAGTTAAAGGATCCTGCTAGTGGAGCCAATAAAACAAAACAATTTAGTTTATCTAATACCATGCAATGATTGTCAGGTCAAATACATAGGTCAAACTAGTAGAACAGGGGCAGTCAGACTAGCTGAACATAAAAACTTAGCAAAATCTAGATTGGTTGATCCAAATAAGATAAGAAATCTAGAGAATAGTTCAGCTATAGCACTACACTACATGCAATTAAACACAACCATACAACAGGATGGGATAGGATGACAGTTTTAAAGTCTAATGTCACAGCATGAAGGGAGAGATTGACGACAGCAGAAGCTTTGTTTATCGAATTAACTGAGAGAGAATACGTGTAATAGGAATGATTCAACACCTATCCCCGATATCTGGAATAATCTACTACCCCAACGACGACAAATAGAAGACAAAGAAAACTATAAAACTCAAGTGTCAAAGTCGTGTGATCACAATTGATATGATTATGAACAATAAATTTTGTTCGAAACGTCATCCAGTAAATAATACTGTTTCTTCACTGTGTGATATACCTAATAAACAAAATAATATGGAATTACTTACTACTACAGTGCCCAGGTTTTACACATGTATTATGATATTGGAACGAATGTTCACACTTATGACACTGGATTATCACATATCGACGAAGACGATAGAACGCTGAGTTTTTGCCGCGATTACTATGCAGTAGAGTATGATCTAATTCTCCTGCGTTTTTACTTATGATGAGTTTCTAGAGTTTCTTAACTAGTAGAGAGCAGAGGTTTAGAGTTACACTCTAGATCTCTTTCTAATCGAACTTCAGTCCCCCACCCCACCTATTTTCCACAAAAAACAATACTCAGAGTGCTTTCAATAAGCTTTTATTATTAGGCACAATGGAATATAACCTCAGAATAGGTAGAGAAATAAATATATAAAGCGTTCAAAGGTAAATATGAGTATATATATAATATATATTTAAGTAGTATATATCTTGCGCAGTAAATTTAATGAGGCACATCATAAATATGATTTCGGGCTTGTTTAGCCAATAATACGAATAGACATTTAATAATAATTACTCCAATACTTTTTCCAACTCTTTAGATGGACGATTATTTGACACCACAGTGATTGGAGCAAATGGATGATTTGTCTTTTGTAAATACTCCTGGAAGAGAAATAACACCAAGAGAAATAAAATGTGATTTCCAAATATCTATTTAAACATTTAGAAAAAAACCAAAAACAACAAATTGAGCGAAGAAATATACATTCCTTTTCAATTAGTTCCTCATAAATATGTAATATATAATCTTGATTCCTATTGTCGATATCTCGACGATAGATTTATGGTTGTGGAGAAAGAAAGTGAGACTAAGGACATATTGGATAAATTCAATAAAGCACATCCTAGCATAAGCTTCACTAAGGAAGAAGAAGAAAATGACTCTGTCCCCTTTTTGGACGTCATAATGACTAAACGAACATATAGAAAATCAAAACAAATGATTCAGCGAAGAGACTCTTTTCAACGAATTTATCATCAAGCTGTACAATCGTATATATACAGCTTGATGATAAATTCGTTGAAAAGAGTCTCTTCGCTGAATCATTTGTTTTAATTTTCTATATGTTACAATGGGAATTTTCCATGATTTAAACGAACAGACGGAACAATATGTAGACGTTTGTATAGAAAACCTACTTCCACTGGACAATATATTCTGACTTCCTAAGCTTCGTACCTCTACAATACAAACGTAATCTGGTTAGATGTTTGGTTCACCGGGGGAGAGTTCTCTGTTTAAATGAGACACTGGACGAAGAACTTGGTATTAATCGTGATCTGTTAAGTAGAAACGGATATTCGACTAAATTTTTGAACAAACGCATGAACTCAGAAAGTAGAAAGTTGAAGGTGACGACTGTTCCCAAAAGTATCAGTCTTCTTAAGATTACAATTCACGGGTGATGTCAATGGTGAGATCTTATGATAACACTTAAGAAGGGCCTTCAAACGAACTTTCAACGCAGATAAGTTATGCAATATCCTCACTAGCCAACCAATACTTAGTTCAAGAAATAAAGACAGACTGCCTTGTTTCGCCTCTTCTATCTGCATTTATCAGTTTAAGTGCCCGTGAAGAGCTAGTTACATTGGGTGAACGATCAGGTAAGTTTATCGTCAAGTTTTTGAACACCATTCCGCATCTTGGTTTGGTAAAGGTTCGAATAAAGCTATACGCAGCTCAATACTAGCTCATCTCGTCGTCTATACTGGACATCAAGTTGACTTTAACAAAGCTTTTGAAGTTATTTATTGTATGTCACCCAGCCTCGACGAGTGGATCGTCGATGCGAGGGTGACATGGAGGAGATCCTGTGAGGAAGAGATGAGATATTATGCGCACTCGTGGACCCAGCTGAAGAGGATGGCAGAAAACAGAATAAAGTGCAGGTGTGTTGTTGAAGCCCTATGTTCCACTCGGAACCCAAGGGAACAATAATAATATCCTATAATATAAACCCCTAAACACTTTCACTGAACACTAGCTAGTCACTAATATTATGCGTCTAGTCTTTTGTGTTAGTGCAGAATGAATTCTATCATCAGTCAAGTTTGCAATGCGGCCACCATTCTAGATGGCTCGCTACATCATGGTGCACTCTGGGTTGTTGTTATTAGATAATTGGAGGCAGTCAGCAGGAAGCGCTGCTTGGACCTTGGTTTTGTGGTTATTGACGTTTGACACTTGTTACTATTCAGTGTCTAACAGAAGTAGTGAGAAGTCATAACCAGAGGGATCCATCAAGTCAGGTAAAGGAACAGTTCCTCGCCTATGGCACTGGCTGGCGGTTTCTTTACATACGAATTGCGAATCGACAGGAGCTGGAATTCATAAACCATTGGTTCGGGTCCCAGTGGCTGAATGGTCTACGGGCTAGCCTCGTAACTGGAAGGTCCTGGATTCGAACCCCGTTGGTTGCGCACTGCTGAATAGTCTAAAACAAGGACAAAACAGCTGTCTAGCACTCCCTGTTGGTTTTCCAATGGTCCACTGACTGATGTTGACTCGTATTCAAACCGGTAATAGAAGTATCCATTAAAATCCTATAGGAGGTCAATAACGAGCTTGAATGGCTCAGTGGTAGCGTCTCAGACGGCAGCATTGGGTGACTTGAGTTGGAGTTCCTCCCTCAAGACTGCAGATACACCTTGCTGACTGATGAGTGCCATTAATCAGGAAACCTAAGTTAGGTAGGGTTTCCTGGCGATTATCTCCAAACACACATCAACCCCCCCTAAGATAGTGTATAACTTTAAAGAGAAGTTACGTAAAGAGACCTCTTGACCGCTGACTTTGTGTCTTCTAAATTCAAATCAATGGGGAACTTTTCATATCGATTTTATCTAATAAATGGATAAATGATTCTATCTTTCGCGTTGAATCTCTACACCTACAACTAGACATCATCTGTCAAAGTAATTATTAGGCCTCTTTTAAAGGGATACTTTGTTTATTGATTACTATATACATTAATTACACAAACAGTATCGATTTACTATCGATTAAAAGTATTTTTTTGAATATTAATGAGTGTTAAGGAATGGAAAAGAAAATTAACCATCTGTCTGGATGATTCGATTGCACAGTAGGGTACTGTGTAGGTGTGTGTGTGTGTGTGTACGTGTGCATGTGTCTATGAATTGAAAGGTAGGCTAAAAGCAGAATAGTAGTCAAAGTGTATAAATCACATAGAATTATGTAATTCCCATCTGTGCATAACACAAATAACATCAGTTGTGCACAACAAAATATGGCTATTTTAATCCGAATAATAATGAATGGTAATTGGGATGCAAATCACCATCAATGGGAGGGATTTGAAAGAGGTTACTTCATTCACTTATCTAGGCAGCCAGCATTGTCTCAACTACAGGAGGAACAGACAAAGATGTCAAATCGAGAATCGGAAAGGCAAGAAACACATTCATCAACCTGAAACCAATCTGGAAATCTTCGTCACTCAGCATCAACAACAAAATTCGGATTTTCAATACAAATGTCAAGTCAGTTCTTCTATACGGATGGATCAGAAACTTGGCCAGTGTGTCACAAAGAATATTTCCAACAGCCTGTTGCAGACCTTTATCAACAGCTGTCTTCGTTCTATACTGAAGATCAGATGGCCGGAAAGAATCACCAACAAGAAACTATGGGAACATACAAAACAAGAACCAATCGCTCAAAAAGTATGCAGGAGAAAGTGGAGATGGATTGGACACACGCTGAGGAGGCCGCTGGGTGACATCGCACGTCAGGCCAGTGCTCGAGTGGAACCCGAAAAGGAGGCGGCGAGTGGGACATCCAAGAGTGACATGGAGGAGATCATGTGAAGAGGAGTTGAAACAATATGGAATAACATGGATGCAAGTGAAAAGCACAGCAGAAGACAGAAGCAAGTGGAGACGTGCAGTTGAAGCCCTATGTTCCCACTAGGAACCCAAGGGAACAATAATAATAAATAATAAATTGGGATGCAAATATATGTATCACGAATTGATATCGGTAAGAGAACCATTGAGAATAAACAGGGAACACTGAACTATCAGGCAAGCTTGCCCCGTAGACCCGGGGTGGAATCCAACAGCCTATGAATCGTAACTCCTTTCATTTCGCGATATACAGCTCCATCGTTAGCCAAAAATGCCTTCGGCAGGGATTTGACTTAACACCAGACTTAGAGGATGTTACTGGTGACAATTCTCATTGACTGTAGGATGAAGTTAGTAAGAGCTCTAGTGGCGAGTCGTAATCAGCAGGTTTGTCCGATACTCGCCGATAACACTGACTGGTGATCGCGTTATAAATCTCGAATCGGCAGGAGTTAGAATTCAAGGATATTACTGGATTCCATCCAAGTGACTGGACGGTTAAGACGACGGTGTCTTAATCTGAAGGCCTTTTATTCCATCCTAGGTGGAGCCATAGATTCTGACGATGAGCCTCAAATAAGGACAAAGCGGCTGTCTAGTACTCCTTGCTGGTTATCAATGGTTCTCTAACTGATATCAATCCGTGATTTGACTTAAAACCAATCAGGTCCCATCAAAGCGATACTTAATAATGCAAATATATGTTTTATCTCTGTTCAAATTTTCTAAATTCGTGCATGAAATGTTTAAAGAAACGCCTCCATGTCAAATCACTCAAGTTGCTAGATCATTTAGTGACCGCGAGTTGAAGAATATCCCAAGAAGTCACTTATCTGAAGTTTTATGATGATTGTTTACAGTCAGGCTTTTTCTCGAGTCAATTTGTGAAAAACCTTCTTTCCCATGCACTCTTTCCTTGTATTAAAAATGTGAGCCGTGGGATAAAACCCCACACTGAATCGATAACGTTACTGATTGCAAAACTGAAGACGGAAACTATCTCGTTCAAAAAATGTTATCAGTAATTTAAACATCATATGCAGGATGAAGTATATCAATTTCATCCAAGATCTTCAGTACAAAATTTATCTAAACTTTTTCAAGACCCTGTCCAAGATACTGGTGAAAGAACAGTTATATGAAGGCTTTCCTGAAAACCCCCCCAAAAATATGTTATTAGTATATCAAGCTAACACTGTTCTGTTGATTAAGTTTTCATTTTTTTCTGTTTTCTGTCTTACCACAACACTTAAACATTAAAGTATGTTATTATCACCTATATAACCATTGTAATTTCAGGTAGTGGTATGCAGCTAATGAGAACCTGTGAAATAGAATGACGACATCATTTTATACGGCAAATTTCGTCTTTCTTTCTTTATCGAAATCATAAAGAACGTCTAATATCAGAAGCACTTCATATCAAGTGGAATCCAAATTGTCTGAATAGGAGAATGATTGACTTAGAAAACAGAATTTGACCTGGTTGCACCGCCAACCCTCTCCCTCATGAAGTGACAAAATCAGCACATTCGTATTGATTACGTAAACACACGCTGCTTTTATAATTTTACACACTTATCAAATCTAACAATCTACACACATGGTTTTGTTATCTTTACCAATTGGTCAACTTGACAACGTAAACAAAATTACCACATACTGATGAACGATGATTAAGTTGTTATATACATAAGCTGAGTGGATTTTGTAAATTCTGGTTTAATAATACTTTGATAAGGCTATTAGCAGCAGCATTAAATAGCGAAACCTCAGTAAAAACAACAATATCGTTTTGTTTTTCATTCATTGAGAAATACAAAAACCTTTATTTTAATGAATATCATATACCCAATGCCTAAATTTTTTCAAACTGTTAAAAGTGAACTTGGTTTGGACATGTGTAAATACTTGAGTTGAAGATGCAGGCAAAAGAAAATAATTCTTCAGATTAGCTTATTTTCTTTTAAAACAAAACAACATTTAAAACTGACTTACATGTGCATGCGACAAAGCATCCAACTTTTCTCGTCGACTGCATTTCTCTCCAATATAAACAAACAAAGAACTACCAGTATCAATCAAGAAGACGTCATTTGATGATAGAGAAGACTTGGGCAGAGCATTTTCACACACAAGTGTAATCTCCATTTTACCACTTTCATCTGACACTCTATAGAAAGAGGGGAAAAAAAGAATACACAAAGCAGACAGGAATTACTAGCAAGTGTATCATGAGGGACAGGGAGAAGAAGAGTAGTCAGTGACTCTATTGGTTTGTATGCCACAGCAATTCATAAAGGTCTCTAAAAGTCTTGCAGTGATATCTGAGATGTCCTTTATATATGGTAGGGTGATTGATGTCACACACAAGCCAACAAAATCATTTCACTAGGCTGGCCCTATGTCAACCAGTAGGCTCAACAGAGAAAGAAGATAAAACTCACATTATCTACAAAATATTAGTTGCAACGATTGCAAAAACCACAACATTAGGCGGAATGGATGACGTCCTCTTCGTCTTCTTATCTATGAACGTAGACTAGCCATCAAAAGACATGACATCCACTCCCTCATATTTTTGATTGCACACTAGTCAGTAACTAGTGTAATGCGTCTAGTCCTATCTTCGGTGCAGACTGAATTCTATCAGTCATGTTTGCAATGTGGCCACCATGCTAGGTGGCTCGCCATTACGGTGCACTGTGAATTGTTGGTATTAGATGGTTGGAGGCGATTGCCGATTGCCTCCAACCATCTAATACTCCCTCATATTGCTGCATACAGACAACCAGGGACATCAATTCGACTGGGACAATGTTCAAATATTAGACAGAGTAAACACCAAAAACACCAGAGAAGTTTTAGAAGCCTGGTATTCCAGTGAATCGTCAATCAATAGACACATCGAGATAGAGAAAATTTACCAGCCGATAAGAAGGAAACCTTACACACAAAAGGTCAAAATTCAAGTCAAGGAAACAATCAGTTCCAATACAAGTAGCCTAGAGGGTGTGAAAATACACAAAACAACCAATCATTGTGTTCAAGGTCACCAGGAGAGATGACTTATAAACTCGTGGAGAATTCTAAAAGCTCACTTCAACAAACTGAAGTATGCGCTGAAGATGTTTCCTAGTAGGGAAATGAAAGCTTTGCAAATAAACCATCTAGCTAGCTCATAGAACACAACTACATTAAAATAAACAAAGTGTGGACATAAAGTATACCAGCTTCAAGATAGGCATGGTTAGATGTTTGCACAGTACTTGTACAACTGATCTACATCAATGTCAACTGACTTACGAAATTTAAACTAAAATTTCACAGCAGTTGGACCCAGTCTTATTTGAGACTCACTTAGATATATCAACGTGAAATCCCTTGGCCCAGTTGCCCAGTGGATAGCGCTTTTCGCGTTTGAAGCCATGGGGACTGAATTCACGTCTCAGTGAGAACACTATCACTCGCTGGGAGGGGACTGTAGGTACATACGGTTGATAAACCTCAATCAGGACGAAACTAGCGGTTCACAGTGTGATGCTAGCTACCACAAGCTAAATAAGATTTTTTCTCTACCAATGTGAGATGATGAAATTTTGTGTTTAACTTATTTATTTTTCTCAACTGTAATTTATAAATTAGTAGTAATATTATTATATGATTGCTTTGGGTTCCAAATACAATGTATATCCCCATTTCATCTTCTTCTCTGAGGTCCTTCTTAGCTGACTCTACAATTGCTCGAAAGCTTTCATCTCCATGTTATACTCAGACCAAAGCCCAACTCGTCGTTTCTCATTCGGGTTCTACTCGACGGCCTGTTTGGTGTGTGATTTCACTCAATGTGCGTCCAATCCATCTTCACTTTCTTCTCCTTATTTGCAAGGGTAATTGGTTATTGATTGGTCTGCTGCCAGACCTCCTTGTTGCTAATCCTTTCCAGTCGGCAATTTGATCCACAGTGTAGAGCTCAGTGAATGTTTAACACTAACTAATATCTATAACTGTATATATATTATTGGAATTACATGTTCAAAGTGACCCAAGTCAGTGAATCTGTGGTTTTGATATCATTTTTGTCAGCTGTAGTGGACAGTGATACTAATGCTATGGGTTTTTTTATTGTTGTTGTTGCCGCTGCCTTTCCTGTTGTAAATTTTTTCCTTTTGCTGGTGTTGTTCTGATTGCTTTATTTCTTGTTTTCCTGATTCCAAAGGGAGTAACCCAAAAAGTTGCTCCTCTGTAACTAACATATTTATGTAACAACCCCGCTTGTCAGGCGTGAGGCTAGCAACCTCACCCTGTAAACAAAACTGCTACAGAAACTTCAGTATGAATGAAGCCCTATATTCCGCTAGGAATGAAAGGAAACAATAATAATAATCATTAAGATTCTCATCCGCACCGTCTTTAGTTGTGACGATGCTTGCTGCCCAGGTAATTCAAAGTAGTGATGGCATAAAAGTGCATTTACAATTCTGATTTTCGTTTCTATGTGATCTTGAATTACAGTTTCTAATTTTTACTTATTGAAAACAAGGTTTAATCCACTGAACAACTTTACATTAAAGAAACTAGATCCCATCAACTTATGTGAGATCAATCGATTTTTTCATCCTGTAAGTAATTAAAATTTCTTATACATCTGTGAGAAAAGAGTAAACGCCCTAAGTAGACAGAAATAAGTTTCAAAGGGAATAAAATTCACATTTGAATCAGAAAATTAACAAGAAAAAGTAGCTATGATGTTAAATTGTAAAATGAAACGAATAGAAGAAGGTAAACTGCACACAAGCGTTTATAAAAGGCAAAGCCAACGCATTCTGATAGATATTTAGACTTTAATTCATCTCATCCATCGTTATCTGTAAAGGCAGGCTTAGTTAAGTGTCTAATAAACCAAGCAGCAGCACCAAGTAGTACGCGAAAAGACCTAAGCGATGAAATGAAACAGATAGAAGAGGTGTTGGTGTTCAATAACTATCCTGTAAAGTTCATTAGGAACATCAGTAAAGGCCAAAAGCAAAATAAAAATAATGGGGAAACTAATAATGATAATATAAATAAGAAAGAATATAAGGTATCTACAGTTTTACGACATTAAGAGGGGACATGTGAGATCATACGTAAAATTCTCAATAAAGCAGGAATTAGAGTGGCATTTAAACCTAACAACTCACTCAGGGACATGCTCTGTAGGCTAAAAGACCCGGTGGACCCAACTAAACAAAATAATATAATTTACAAAATACCTTGCAGTGACTGTGAGTTAAGTCAACTACATAAGTCAAACTAGTAGATCAGGAGTAGTGAGATTGCCTGTCAGAACATAAGAATTTAGCTAAGGTTAGAATGATTCATCCCAAGAAGATAAGCAATTTAAAAGAAGAAAACTCAGCAGTTGCACTGCATCCATTAACACATACACAACCACACAATAGCCTCCAAAGCCTCAGGATGGTCGGGGGTGGGTGCCTTGCGCTGCGGGTTGGCCACCCCTCCGCACACCTCTTGAAATGCTCCCATATGACCGGGCGTCTTACATAGCCTCTCCTGAGGAAGTCCTACTCACTGCCTTCACGTGGTGGAGGTGTTTTTCACCAAAGTGAGAGGGCGAAAGCGGATGCCCGGCGCTCTTCACCGGGTTGACTGTCCATTGGATGACAGTCTAGGGGAGATGGCTAAACCCTGATTCCAAACCTCCAACGACTGGCGTATGAAGTTCACTGGAGCTCACCGGCAGACGCATGGACAAAGGGCTTGTTGGATGTCCTGGATGTCTGGCCCCATTCGAAAAGGCGTATGAACCGAACTCCGGTCAGCGGCTGCCAATGGATAGTGGACTCCCTACTCCACTCCTACTGCCTTGTAGGTCACACTTGGTTGTGTAAAGGCTAGAGCTGCACTCTCAAACAAAAGGCCGAGCGATTCTGGGGATATCACTCCCATGAAACTTCATGACCTCTCTTCATCAGATCGCCGCGCCTGGGCAGCGATGACTCGAGATGTTCATGAAGCCGGCTCATCCTCCCGTAGGAGATAGCCGAAGTGAAAAAAAAAAGAAAAAGAAAGACACAATAGGGTGGGTGGGCAGAGTCAAAATTCTAAGAAGTAATCAAGGTAGGTGGAGAGCGAAAGAGATTGATTACTGAATCCTGGTTCATCATCGAGTCTACACCGAACACAACACATGCAATAGGAGGGACTCAATGCAAATACCAGAGATATGGAAGATATTAATACCACCAGTCAAATCAGAGGAAGATAATAAATAATGTTAAAATGTATTCAATTCACATCATAACATTCTAACAAGTTACTTATTTTGACTATAAAAACACTCGTCTTATTTACCATCTGATTGTATTTGATTGATAACACTCATATTATTATTTCTGAATGTACTTTATCATCTTATATTGATTTTATTCGATCAAATGTCTAATCATCAATTTTTACTCATGTATATAAATGAAGCAAGAAAGTTGTGTGAGTAGTGCATTGATATGATTATGAGTGGCAATAAATTGTGCTCGAAAGGTGGTCATCAGTAAGTATTACTGTATAACAACAATGTGAGACTTTATCAAAATAAAATTTTATCCATAATGGAGTTATACTGTACCACAGTACCCAAGTTTTTTCCTTATATCAATTTGTAAAGGGTCTATATATATTATTATCGATTAAGGGATTATGAAATCTGATTGGGGAAAAATGTTTGCACCCACCTGTAAATAGCTTTATTGCCAACTTCTTTCTTTACTTTTTCTGGGATTTCAACATCTGGTAGATAACTGAGGAACTTTTTCTAAGAAGCATTAGAGAAACAGAGAGAGAGAAAACAGAAATTAATCAATAAATGAAGCAAAAACAACAATAGTTTGTGTATATATATATATATAGATTTACTCCTGGTAATATTGAATTTCACGGATGATTTGTGCTTATGATGTCACAAAACTCGATGATTTACAGTCAGGTGAAAACCAATAAACTAGCTAAAGAAGAAGCGAAGATAAGACTTCAGGTGAACATAGAGAAAACGGAGGTGATGAAGATAACCAACCAACCACCAACAACAACAGCAACAACAACCAGCACCAATCACCATCAACGGGATAGCTTTAACAGAGGTTGCCTCCTTCACTTATCTGTCCAGGAAGCATCGTTTCAACTACAGTTGGAGGAAAGGAAGAAGATGTCAAAGCCAGCCAGTCAGAATCGGAAAGGCAAGATACGAATTCATCAACCTGAAATCAGTTTGGAAATCTTCCGCACTCAGCATAAGGAACAAGATTCGGATTTTCAACACAAATGTGAAGTCGGTCAGTGCTTCTATACGGGTCAGAAACTTGCACTGCCCACTCGTCACGAAAAGCATTTCCAACAGCCTGTTGCAGACTTTCATCAACAGCTGTCCCCTTCACTGGCTGGCTCCATACTGAATATCAAATGGCCAGCCAGCCAGAATAAGCAACACGAAACTATGGGAGCAAAACCAACCAAGAGCCGATCGCTCAACAAATATGTAGGAGAAAATGGAGATGCATTGATTTGGTATACATTGAGGAGGCTACCGAATGACATAGCACGCCAGGCCGTCGAGTGGAATTCAAATGGGAAGCGACGAGTGGGTCATCACTTCGAGGAAGACATGGAGGAGATCGTGCAGGGAGAAGACGACAGACTACGGGCGATCGTGCGCCCAAAGTGGAAATGTGTTGTTGAAGCCCTATGTTCCACTCGGAAGCCAAGGGAATAATAATAATGATATTTAAAATGAAACATGACTGTTTCTCAATGCAGGACTCTACACAGAAGTGCTTCAGTTCAAGTAGCCACACACCACCTATAACACAAATTTAGTAGACGGAAAGCAACACCTAAAAGATGTATAATGAGCGGAAGTGTACCCGAGGGAAAACAATTGCACGAAGAAACCTGAGGACGTAACAGGTCTTGAGACATTACATTGGGGACGATTATAAGCCATTTCACAAACAATCTCTAGCCATTAGTTCTTGGAGTCATGGACTCCAATGAGGTACACTGTCACAAACATCAAACCTTATCGTGGAGGAGACATCTGCACAAATAAACTATTGGATCCAACTAGAACTTTAAGGAGTGTTTGTCAAAGCAATAGAATGTAGTATAGGATTGCATAACTGAGTCTGTTTAGAAATGAAACCATGGATATGTGGTGAAATGCCAAATTTTATGTTTTTCAATACGTCTTTAGAAATCATATGATTATCCAGATGACTAGTTACCACAAGGTGAGTTTCGACGTAAACCAATATAGACCATAGGACCATTATAAAAAGTCAGAAGCACTGACAAATGCCGCTTTGCCTTACTGTGAAGCTACGCTCATTTCTGACTCCAAAGAATGACAAACAAACTGTCATCCCCGTAAAGTCGATGACATTGGAATCTAATGAAAAATTTGACTTCGAGTAGGTATCTTGTTCATACGATAGAATTATAAATAACTGTTGTACGTCAGTGGGTCGATAGCAGAATGCCCACTAAGCACACAAGTTGTCTGAGGTTCGACCTGCACTCCCTAATCTTGTAACAACAGAAGAGAAGGACCAGGCAACAGATCGTTTATCAAGGAAATCAACAGATATTTATAGATTTTCATGTACATTATTATAGATTATTGTAAGCTAAGAAACACAGTCTTCTGATTGGTGGTTTCTCTCTCTCTGAACGTTAATCTTTCATCTCTTTGTGGCCGTTTATTGAAGTTCAGATGATCTATCTGCAAATTGTATCCACCTACGCGAAGTCTGCTGTGATTGGTTATTGAGTCAGTCTTTGTTCTTATTTTTCTCATGGTCAATATTGGGGACGTAAACATTGATGTAAATTGTTGTTTACAATTTTGGCTAGCAGCCAGCTCTCACCACAATCTCACTTAGTGTGTTAGCCGACAGTAATCCAGAAAAAGAGGGGATTTGTAGAAATGAGACAATAGTAACCCCTTCCCCCCCCCCTTAAAAACACCAAAGCCAATGCCACTGAGATTTCAAAACTTGAGGTCTTCTGTTTAAATTGGAATGAGAAAAAACACATTGAAGTATCTATGGTTTCATCATACTACTGAAATATAGCTGTAATCAGTAGTATTTGGATTTCAAAAATTCCCCTGTCGACTTTGATACCTTTTTAACAAAGCTAACTAGTAATCTCATTCTCAATTAGTATAACCTTATATGAGTGATGCTCAGAGCTTTGATCGCTAAAACCATATGAATGAACGGAAATCACTAGACCGTACGCACATCATAGACACATACATGCATACATACACACACATACACACATAAACGGAATAGCGACAATGAATGGTATTAACGCAAACGATAACAAACTTACATGTCCTTCAGCATCATCTTCATCTATCACCTCAGTTTTGCATCGTCCATTACGATCAGATTCAAGTTGTTGTAGAAATTGACTGGCCTAGATATCAATCAATATAATGAATACAACACAACATTACTCAAATGATGAAGATAAACTGTGAACTAATAGAATATTTAAGAAGGGACGCTGAAGAGTCTCAGAGCAGGGCGAAACAGCCGCCCAGTTTGCAACATAATTAAAATCAATTAGATCCTTGCAAACCAACAAATTGAAATTATTCGAATACTCTCAAGTGGCTAACTACAGGACGAAGTTACCTAGAGTTCTGGTGAAATGACTTGACAAGCGGGGTCTACGATGTCTGATGTGAAAACGAATACTCACCGATGACATTGGCTGGCGGTCACTTTACAGATTGCCAGCTGGAAGAAGTTAGAATCTATTGGTCACTAGATTCCATCCCAATGTCTCAATGGTCAACGGGCCTCTCCTCCTAACCCGAAGGTGACAAATACTTACTACTAATACAGTGTATGTATATTCCTAATTTAGGCACCAATCGAAAAGCTTGATCTAGTAAGAATGAACCAATCGAACACAGAGCTGAAGCAGAGACTGACTAGTTTTACTGATTCTGTGCTAACTATCCATCCCATTGGCCATTATTAAGTTTGCTGAAACTCAAACTGAGTGTTGGGTTGTCAACTAGCTGCATTCTTATTTCTCAGGAAGAAAGCAGTACACTGTATGTCAGGGGAAGTCGTCCACTTCACTAATTACTGAGGCTGGTGTCGCTCAAGGCGCCACTCTTTCTTCTCTTCTGTTTTCTTTCTTCTTGCATGATCTACTTCACTCTGATGATGAAATGAACTGTATTAAGTATGCAGATGATCTAAATGTTTCAAGGCCCTATTAACTCCCATTTAAACTTTAATAAGATGAACAACTTTCTATCAGAAGTCAGCAAATGGTCTTCGTCTAATGGTCCTAAACTAAATCCTTCTAAATGTCAGCCCGTTAATTTCAGTTTCCTATGTAAACGAAAGTTAGATGAAGTTTTTAATTCCCATAAGCGTTGTAAAATTGATGATATTGATGTAGAAATCAAGTCTGACCTTAAATACCTTGGACTGATTCTTCCTTCTCATCTATCCTCGTCTTCCCACATCTTAGAGATTTCCGGTGAAATATTCCGTCTGACGTTTTATAGTAAGAAGTTAAGGCACTCAGGCATTACCCAACCCCTTCTCTCACAGTTTGTCATCTCGTACATCTTACCTATTCTTTTTTATTGTTCACCACTATTCTTTCTTGGATTGCTTAGAAAAAGACTAAGTCATACTTCGTAGAACTCTGATAATTTTATTATTTTATTTTGATTTACAGCTTGATTCCACACCGTTTTTTCAGTACAAGTATGGAATTTTCAGCATGGATATCGGTAGCCAAAATCCAGGCCGACCATAGATATCGGGTGTGCGTCGGCGGGGGATCGAACCCCGGACCATGTGCATGGTCGGCGAGAGTCCTAACCACTGTGCCACCGACGCACAAAAAGGGAGGACCGTGAGGCCTCCCCACTGACAAAAACTACACGCCCGAGCGCACCCGATTAGGGTCCGTCGCGAGTTTCAACCCACCGAGGTGCAATGGTGAGCCTCCACCCGGGGTCAGAGCATTCTTGATCACCCTGAACCGGGCGCCAGGTAAGTCAGTTGGGTGAGTGGTATCCCATTGGGCCGTATCGTTAACATCGTCATTGATAGGCACTTAATTCCATGCAACAAATTTGCTAACGGGATTTTGTCAGACTGTGAGCATCGGGTAAAACAAGAAGCCATTTCATCAAAAGACTTTATGCGCGTACCTCTAAGTATAAAAATTCCACCATGCCATATTTAGCGTCACATATTTTATGTGATGAAAATAGTGTCAGGCAAGAACTAACTAACCACCTAACCTTCTTTCCACTAGTAAATAAACCTCTTTCTCCATCCTTATTCCCCCAAGCCTTACCGTTATTATTATTCTTGTATTTATAATCCTCTCAACTTTTTGTGTGTGTTTATTTTCTCATAAGTGTAAACAACATTTAAACTCTGTAAAAATAATTGTTCTTTGTTTTCCCCTCACCATGCTACATCAACTGGACATTAGATTCAGTAATCTATAACATGCTAAAATTTCCATACTGTATCAACAATAATGTTTGAAACAAACCCACTGTTATTATTATTACCACTATTAATCTTAGAGTTATTATTCTCAATTTGTACTTCGCACATTTTTGGCTCTATTCCTGCTGTAAATGTGCACAAATTCCTGTGATTAATTTTATTTATATTTTGAGTAAATTAGATGCAATATTGTGACAAATGCTGAGAATTCCATGCTGTATTAAAGTACTGTATGTTGGAATAAAGCAGATTATTATTATCGTTCTCATTTATTTATTGGAAGCAAGAGTGTGAATAAACAAGGGATATGTCATTTCTAAAGTAAACATTTCCTTATCCCTATTTCCCATCAAGTCGACCTCCATACACGGAACAGCAGACAGTACATAATGCAGAATCCCTCAGATAATCACCACCAGCGTTGTTAATTGAAGTTAGTAGATGACTGAAATGGTTGTTTTGCAGACAAAATTTTATACAGACATCTTTTTTTCATTCCAACTTCAAAAATCAAATTATAAATTCATCATCTATTGTGTTTTTTTTCAAAGATTATTCATTAGTATTGGTTTCTTTTGTAGGGATTTTGTTTGATTGGTTGGAGGATTTCATCATGAGTTGGCATCAGTTAGAGGACCACTAGAAAATCACATGGCAGTACTGGACAGCTGTTTCGTCCCACCTAGTTTGGGACTCTTCAGTAGTACGCACCCACCGCTACGGTTTGAACCTAGGACCTTCTGGTTATAAGACTAGAGAGCTCGTAGACCATTAAGCCACTGGGACCCGATCCACTGGCCAGCCGATGATTTCCAACGTCTGCCGATTCACAACATAGAGCGACCATTAGCCAATGTCGTTGCTTCCATAACCCAGAGGTCAACTGATGGATTACTTCATTGAGCCAAATTTTCGCTTTAACATCAGTCATCGTCAGTTTAGTCTTTCTTTAAGTGTAATTTTGTATTTTCCGTTGATTGATTATACTAAATGGACTGAAGTGTTCGGTCTCTGTTGTCATGTCGGCTGCACCTAGTACAGACTCGCTATGAAGATGTCTAATGTACTGGACAACTGTTTCGTCTTAGTTTGGGACTCTTCATCAGTAAGCACCCAGTCCCAGTGGCTTAATGGTCTGCGAGTTCGCCTTGTAACCAGGAGGTCCTGGGTTCGAACCCAGGTGAGTGCGTGCTGTGAAGAGTCCCAAACTAGGACTGGAGAAACAGCTGTCCAGTACTCCCTAGGTGGTTTCCAGTGGTCCTCTAACTGATGTCAGCTCATGATGAAATCCTTCAACCAATCAAGGAAATTCCTAACAAAAGCAATACTTGAAAAATATCTGATGTAATTTGGTGGATGGAGATTAGCAGTTGAATAAAAGATGTGTATTTCATCCTATTTGGAACTCTCTAGTTATATGTACCTACAATTCTCCCCTCCAGGATTTCAATGGAGGGCCCACCACCCACCCATCAAATAAAATCAAGTTGCTCTGTCTAATCACAGTTTACCAGTCATTCCATTCATGAATATTAATCTGCCAAGTAAAGATGAACTCACATAACTATACAATTACAACAACAAGATAATTTTGTAATAGCGCTATTATAAGAGGTTGTTCCCTTGAGACGTAGACTTTTCGGCAAATGTTCAGAAAATCGAAGGTGTGCCCTTCTTTCTGTTCTCCCAATGTAACTGCCCCCGCAGATACACGTAAATTTGTACACACAGCTGAAGTTAGCATGAGAAGGGTATCTGTCAACTTTTGACTGCACCAAAAAGCATGTTGTTCGATTGATGGCTCCAGCTATTGACGTGCTCAGTCTTCTGTTGACCATTGCTGCAATATTTTCACCTTTAAAATTTAGTTGAATGAAGACAGGCTTTTTTTCCATTGTGATTTGTTTGATGTTTGAGCCTTTACATCTTCCATATTTGTTAATGAATCTTTGAGGATAATCATTGCTTTTCAACATCTTTTCGAGAATCGTAAATTCTTCCTCTAGTTTCTCTGCAGAGCATATTCTCTTCGCTCTATAGTACAGAGTCTTGACTAGTGCTCGTTTATAGCTATTTGGACAAAAACTATTAAAATGTAAGTATTGTCCATTCCATGTCAGCTTTCGATAAATTGACCTCTGGAGGCTACCATCTTCTAGGGATTGCGTGGCCATGTCAAGGAAGGGGAACTTTCCATCATTTCCACGTTCCTTAGTAAGTTCAATATTAGTATGTGCGCGGTTGAATAATCTGAGTAGGTAGGAAGCCTGACTTTCATTGTTGCACACTACAAATGTGTCATCAACATATCGACAATAGGAAGTTGTTTCGGCAATTGCAACAGAAAAGCCTATGTTTCAAGGGAACAAACTCTTAGTAAAAGCGCTATTACCAGACATCTCCTTGATACCGGGGAGTCATGAGGTGGAAATCGTGAAATCCTTTTGAAATTATCAAGATAATTTTATATTTGTGAATTACTCACTCTGAATTTTTCTTCTTTACTTGAACCACGTCCATTCCATTGAAATGCTTCACTACCCATATCCAAAATAAATACATCAGTTGAATCAAGTGAACGTCGTGAAAATGGTACTTCAAGCAATTCCATGTGTTTACGATCAATAGAATGAAACACCAGTAGACGTGGTTTATATTCATTCGGTTTAACATGATTAAAGCCACTGACATAACCACCTGCTAAAGTTCTACAGATTTTTAATAAACAACGGAAAAAAAATAAAATAAGATAGTAGAAGAATAAAAATTTTAAAAGTTATACATTCACACATTAAATTGTTCAATTTATTTCATATGAACTGTGATTAAGATTTGACCGAATAGTTCCCTAATACAATTGGGCACCGAGTGAGAAGCAGAAATTTGTAAAAAAAATTATATCTGTAATATCTCAGCGAAATTAAAATGAGTAATTCCAACGTTTCCTGTGTTAGGCAGTCTGGTCCGAACTTCTTCAGGGAAAATAATCGAAATTCACATAACAGAGTTTTATATATAAGAGGGGGGAACATCTCTTGTTTTTGAAAAACTTTGTCCAATCATATGAGTCATGAAACAGGCATCAAGATGTATAATAAACAAAATTGTATGAACTGTGATCAAAATTTGACCTCAAAAATTAGTCTACTTTTGTTAAACACTTTAAACAGAGTGTACTTTTCATCAGATTACGTTCGACTAAAAGTTCATGGTCGTAGATAACTGAATATGAAAATATATGTGTGTATGTGTGCATGGGTGAAACAGTTATAAAACATTTGTCAGCCTCTCCATAAGAAGATGTCGACAATCGGGAATTTTGACCAAGTATGATTAATTATTTATACATATCCATTTTTCATTTATTAATCAGGATTTGCCATGTATCAGCTAACATCACACCTTCACGTCTGTTCAAACTGTTGGGTATGGGATTCACCCATACATGTAGGGCTTCCGCAGTCAGTCTTTCTTTATACGAACCAAAAACTCATATGATTGGACAAAGTTTTTTCTAAACATGAGTTGTCCTTTTATATATAAACCTATGTTATGTTATAAGTTTCCAGACCTTAAGTGTTACGAACTTCCTGGAATAATTTGAGCGCCGAGTCAGATTAATTCATTATAAATTATTTAAATTAATCCCAGCGTTTTTAAGAAATAATCAAAACAAGATCCGTCTTCTGAACGTTTCGCTGTGTAAGCCACAGCTTCTTCAGCAGATTTATTCGGATTTTTATTGATCATCAAAATATATAGTCAAAATTTTTTTTACATAAATTGAAGTCAGTTTATTTGAAGGTTACTTGTCCATAGACATTTGTACCAATAGAAATATGTTATGTTGATTTCCCTGAAGAAGTCGACCAGATTGCCGAACGAAACGTTGGAATAAATCATTTAAATTTCGCTGAGATTTTACAAATGTAATTTATTACAAATGTTCAATTTATTTGTTTAAAAATAAAGCAAACTTAAACAAATTTTGTGAACTAAATACCGCCTGTTTTAAATTGTATTTTTGAATGCTCAATTTTCTTTTTAGATCATATACGCATTCTCTCTCTACAGGTTTTTCTTATAAAACAAGCAAGTGCATTTCAATTATTATAATCAAATGCCTCAGGTATATACTACTAATTAGTTGATATTAGTAGGCAGATGTCACTAATATCAATCAGTGACGAAAATAACGAATATAATATAGAATTCAAAGCCTCCGTAGCAATGCCATACAAAGAAGGGACATCAGAGGCCTTACATAGAATTCTCAATGAGGTTGGTATTAGTTAGGGTGGCATTTAAACCAGCCAACCAAATCTCTCAGAGATAAACTTCGTCGACTTAAGGACCCAATAGATCTAATTAAGAAAAATAATATAATTTACCAAATACCATGCAATGATGACTATGAATGGGGTCAATTACTTAGGTCAAATTAGTAGATCAGGGTCAAGTAGATTAGTGGAACATAAAAATTTAGCTAGACCCAGAATAATTGGCCCTACTGAGTTAAATAACCTAGAAAAATGCTCAAACATTGCATTACATTCACTTGTATGTAATCACAAAATAGGTTGGGTGGGACAGGGTGAGAGTAATAAAAAGTAATGTAGTTAGGTAGAGATAGAGAGAGGTTAATCACTGAATCTTTGTTTATCGACATTTAACACCGCACACGTGTAGTCGGGATGACACAACGCCACTTATACCGGAGATATGGAAAGTGGCAACAAATAAACATAGGGAAATCGGAGAGACAGAAAGAGAGAAAATAAATATAAGACAAATTTTGAAGCCGTGTGACTAAATTGATATGATTATGTGTGGCAATGATTTATGTTCGAAACCTTGTCATCCAGTTGTTAATACAGCATCATCACTGTGTGTTAATCAAAATAGACTCATCTAATATGGAATTACATTCTACCACAGTGTTCAAGTTCTACACTTACAGTATAGTGTTCGCTAGCCAGATAGAAGTAATGTAGACAGTGGAAAGTCATTTCACTCATTTAAGGTTGAGCTCACCAGCAATATATCCGATTCACTTCAGCTCAAGGAGCTGAATCTGTTCAAACCACTCGAATTCTCGCTAACTACTTGGGTGAACTGGTAATACACACGGCTTAGGATTAGGTAGGTGTGCTGACAGCTCAGCGGTTGAATGCTTGCCAACAGTGCACGTGGTTCAAGGTCCGATCCTCGGTCGACGAATTCCTAAACCTCCCGTAGTCGGTTGTAAGCTTGATAAAGATGGGAGGTCGGCCGTGAGGCTAGCGACCCAACCCTGTAAGAAGGACCACGACTACTGAAACTTCACAGATGAAGCTTGAAGCCCTATGTTCCACTGGGAACGTAAAGTAACAAAATAAGTATAAAAACAAGGATTAGGTAGAGAGAAGAGAAGGCCGATTTATATTGAAGCTTTTCTTTTAATCTGAATTGTGTTATGAATCTGATTAATTCATTTCGTGGTGAACAAAGTCATTAAATATTTCCGCTTGTGAGGTTTCGTATATTTTGACTTCATTTGTTATCAATCGACGGTTTCATCATTGCACTTTTTTAAAACTGCAGTTCCTCTGTGACATCATGGTCTGACCTTGACGCGCAACAGCGATCTCTGGGAGCAAACCAACCAGGAATCGATTGTGAAACAAATAGGCAGGAAGAAATGGAGATGGATTGGCCACACTCTGAGGAAACCAGCAAGTGACATCACTAGACAAGCCATCGCTCGAGTGGAACCCGAAAGGGAAGTGGTGAGTTGGTCGTCAGTGCAAGGGTGACTTTGAAGAGGTCATGTGAAGAGGAGATGAAAACGTGTGGGCAGCCTTGGAGCCAGGTGAAGACTCTAGCAGAGAACCGAACGCAATGGAGACGCACGGCTGAAGCCCTATGTTCCTCTAGGAATTAAAGGAAACAATAATAATAATAATGTAAAGTTGTTTATCGCGTTCTAACTAATCTCGATTTTGCTTTACGAGTTCGTCCTCTACATACAGCTGAAACCATTGGAATCCAGTTGGAGGTACCGATCTTGGCCATTATTACATGACCATAGGAATCTGATGATAGTCTTCTCCTCCCCCTGTGTCATTTATAAGTTGGCATTATTATTATTATTTTATAACTATCTTAATACTCTGACTGTTTCATCTTCAATTGCCTACTACGTAATCAATTTGAACACTTGTTTATTTCTTAATTACACCTTTCTTTCCAAGATTACAGCGTCGGTGACACATAGGCAGAATGTTCGCCAGCCACTCCCACGGTTCGGGGCTCAATCCCTGGTCGACGAACTTATAAACCTCGCTTATCTGATAGTAAGCCAGGCAAATAGGGAAAGTTGTAGGGCGTGAGACTAGCACAACTCCACTCCGTGAAAATAGAAAACCACATATACCATAACTTCAAAGCTCTAGCTTGAAGTCCCATGCTCCACTGGGAATGTACAGGAATAAAATTAAAATTTTTTTAAAAGTTACAATGACTGTGAGTTGAGTCAACCACATAGGTCAAACTAGTAGAAAGGAGTAGTGAGATTATCATTATTATTATTATTGTTTCCTTTAATTCCTACAGGAACATAGGGCTTCAGCCGTGCGTCTCCATTGCGTTCGGTTCTCTGCTAGAGTCTTCACCTGGCTCCAAGGCTGCCCACACGTTTTCATCTCCTCTTCACATGACCTCTTCAAAGTCACCCTTGCACTGACGACCAACTCACCGCTTCCCTTTCGGGTTCCACTCGAGCGATTGCTTGTCTAGTGATGTCACTTGGTGGTTTCTGCAGAGTATGGCCAATCCATCTCCATTTCTTTCTGCTTATTTGTTGCACAATCGGTTCATGGTCGGTTCGCTCCCAGAGATCTCTGTTGCTGATCTTTTCTGGCCGGCCATCTGATCTTGAGTGGTATTGAGCGAAGACAACTGTTAATGAAGGTCTGTAGTTTGTTTGAGGTGCTTTTTATGACGCGCCAAGTCTCTGATCCGTACAGTGAGTAGCACTGACTTCACATTGGAGTTGAAAATCCGGATCTTATAGTGAGATTATCAGGACATAAGAATTTAGCTAAGGTTAGAATGATTCATCCCACGAAGATAAGCAATTTAGAAGAAGAAAACTCAGCAATTGCACTGCATCCATTAACACACACAAAACCACACAATAGGGTGGGTGGGACAGAGTCAAAATTCTAAAAAAGTAATATAGGTAGGTGGAGAGCGAGAGAGATTGATTACTGAATCCTGGTTCATCATCGAGTCTACACCGAACACAACACATGCAATAGGAGGGACTCAATGCAAATACCAGAGATATGGAAGATATTAATACCACCAGTCAAATCAGAGGAAGATAATAAACAATGTTAAAATGTATTCAATTCACATTATAACATTCTAACAAGTTACTTATTTTGACTATAAAAACACTCGTCTTATTTACCATCTGATTGTAATTGATTGATAACACTCATATTATTATTTCTGAATGTACTTTATCATCTTATATTGATTTTATTCGATCAAATGTCTAATCATCAATTTTTACTCATGTATATAAACGAAGTAAGAAAGTTGTGTGAGTAGTGCCTTGATATGATTATGAGTGGCAATAAATTGTGCTCGAAACGTGGTCATCAGTAAATATTAATGTAAAACAGCACTGTGAGACTTTATCGAAATAAAATATTATCCA